GTGAGTGAGTGAGTGAGAGTGAGTGAGTGTGTGTGTGTGTGAGAGAGTGTGTGCGTGTGTGTGTGTGTGAGAGAGTGTGTGCATGCGTGTGTGCGTGCGTGCGTGCGTGCGTGTGTGTGTGTGAGTGACAGGAGCACACAAGACCTGGTTTTCCCGTGCACTGGAAATATTCTGATCAATCAAGACAGATGACAGCAACTACGGAGTCTTGTTTTCTGAGCAATTGATCAAAATGAGATGAGTTTATGATTATAAAAGTCGTGGCCTAATGGTTAGAGAGTCGAACTCATAACCCAAAGGTTGTGGGTTCGAGTCTCGTACCGGCAGGGATTGTAGGTGGGGGGAGTGAATGTACAGCGCTCTCTCCCACCTTCAATACCACGACTGAGGTGCCCTTGAGCAAGGCACCGGACCCCCAACTGCTCCCCGGGCGCCGCAGCATAAATGGCTGCCCACTGCTCCGGGTGTGTGTTCACGGTGTGTGTGTGTGTTCACTGCTGTGTGTGTGCACTTAGGATGGGATAAATGCAGAGCACTAATTCCGAGTATGGGTCACCATACTTGGCCACATGATGAAGTCACGTCACTTCCACTTTATAACAAGAACAAAGATCTGTCAATGGGGAATGAAAAATAAAATCAGTTTAAAGGGGAAACAAGATTATAGTCTTATGGGTTTGGAACTTTGGAGCAAATGTTGACAGAATCTTAATTTTTCCAGCAAATGTATCTTGATGTAAGAATGCTGAGATATTTGTACGGGAAAACAAGACTAAAACACCGAGGAAGAGCATCAGTGCAGCAAACAGTCAAATATTTCTCAGACAGGTTCAGAAAGATACTGAGACACGTGGAGACGCTGAGCTTCTGCTCCAGCCAATCACAGAGCACCATTCCACAGGCACAGGAAGTGCAGAGCAGGGGGAGGGTCTGATTACAGGAAGTGAGCTGTAGTTTCTGTGCTGTCTCTGGAAAAGTTTGTCTCCTCCTCTCTAATGGCTTTTCAATCTGCTCTCCGTCTCTACAGCGAAGCACAAACACACTTCAGACTGATGAAGACATTGTGTCAGTAACCAGAACAGTCGACTGACCAGAACTGATCCTGAGACAGAGATTGAGCTTCATCATGTCAAACTAAAACTCTAAATGTGCTCATCCTCAGGCTGACCGAGATCAGGATGAGTTTGTTTCTTCATCAGATTTGGAGAAATGT